AAGACAAATACCATATAATTTCACTTATATACGGAGTCTAAAAAACAAAACAAATGAATAAACAAACAGACTCATAGATACAGAGAACAAACTGGTGGCTGCCAGAGGGGAGGGGTGAGGGGTGATGTATGAAATAGGTGAAGGGGATTAAGAGGTACAATTTTCCAGTTACAAAATAAATAAGACAGAGGCTGTAACAACTTTGTATGGTAACAAATGGTAAGTAGACTTACTGTGGTGACCATTTTGTAATGTATAAAATATTGAATCGCTATATGGTACACCTGAAATGAATATAAAACTAACTGTACACCAATTACACTTCACTAAAAGTCTTTTTTAACAAACCTAACCACAGTACCAATACACCTAAAAAAAATTCTTTAATGTCAACCATTCAGATAGTGTTCATGTTTTCCTGATGTTTCAAACCATTATTTTGAATTTTATCCCTTACGATTTTTTTGTTAAAAGAAACTGAGTCATTGTTCTACAGTTTCCATGACTGGATTTAGCTGACTGCATTCCCATGATATTTAATATGTTCCTCTGTCCCTTGAATCTCCTTTAAATTCATAGTTAGCTATGCAGTACTGATGAGGTTCAGGTTTCTACTTATTTCAGCAATACTATTCATAGGTGGTGCTGTGTACTTCTATCATGAAGCACATGATGCCCAATTTTCATTTTGTGATATTAGCAGCCACTGACAATCACTGTCTAGACTCTAGTTTGTTTTTTTTTTAAAGATTTTATTTATTTATTTGACAGAGAGACACAGCGAGATAGGGAACACAAGCAGGGGGAGTGGGAGAGGTCGAAGCAGGCTTCCCGCAGAGCAGGGAGCCCGATGTGGGGGCTCGATCCCAGGACCCCGGGACCATGACCCAAGCCGAAGGCAGACACTTAACTGACTGAGCCACCCAGGCGCCCCTGACTACTTAGTTTATTAGGGTTGTAAAATGGTAGAATTCTAATGATATCATTCTTCCTTTGTTAGCTGGAATACTTACAAAGAACAACTTCCCCTTATCAACTATTTGATTATCCTAAGATATAGACAGTATAGGAAAAGCAAGACAAATTTTCATTTTCCTTATTCACCAGTTTCAGAATAATGAGGTAGTTCCCTAGAATCCTGTGAAGGTGACCAATAAGATTTTTAAAATCACTTTATGAACTTAGGGATTTAAATATGTCAAATGCTTTACCACATTACAACTGTTACTGATGCTAAAGTTGTCTCATATTCGGTCAGTGGAAGTTTATTCAGATTGGCTACTGAGTCCTTTTGTCATAACATTTTTTTTTTTTACAGCTTTGTTTTTTGCTATGACAATATTCTAGGTTCATATTGTACATTTCCTGTCCAAGATCTGGAATCAATAGTGTCCCAAAGAGCTCCAATTTCTTTTATTGGGAAATGGTATTTGGAGACCACAATTTGTACACCAGCACAGGTCACTACTACTAGGTCCTTCGTGTTATAAGGCTAAAAGACATGTATTTTTTTTTAAAGATTGTATTTATTTATTTGACAGAGAGAGACACAGCCAGAGAGGGAACACAAGCAGGGGGAGTGGGAGAGGGAGAGGGAGAAGCAGGCTTCATGCCGAGCAGGGAGCCCAATGCGGAGCTCGATCCCAGGACCCTGGAATCATGATCCTGGGATCATGACCTGAGCCGAAGGCAGATGCTTAATGACTGATCCAACCAGGTGCCCCAAAAGACATGTATTTTTTACAATTAAAATACCACATGAGTTTCTAGTTATAATTCTGACCCAAAATCAGGAGTACAAGGTAAATTAACCTTAATCTTACCATCTTTATCATGTATCAACCATACCAGGTCTCAATGTTACATACATAATTATAATTTTGACTTATCCCACAATACACACACAGTAGTTTCAGTAACATTACAACCAACTTTGGGATTAATGAAAAAACGGTTGATTTTGGCGGGGGACAGTTATTTTTTTGTCCTTAGGATATATTCTGGTAAGTATGTACAGACAGCTTATTATGTTTTAAAGTCATTTGAAGAAGGAGCGCCTGGGTGGCTCAGTCAGTTAAGAGTCTTGATTTCAGCTTAGGTCATGATCTCAGGGTTGTGAAATCTGGCTGTGTCAAGCTCTGCACTGGGTGTGGAACCTGCTTGAGATTCTCTCTCTCCCTCTGCCCTGCCGCACCCGTCCTTCCCTACCTCTCTCCCTCTCTTAAAAAAAAAAAAAAAAGAGTCATTTGAAGAAGTTTCTGAGAGACTATAATTTCATTTTCCTTACTAGTTTTACTAATTTGTTTATATAAAATGTTAACACAGTTCCCGTATTAAATCAATACTGTTAGCAACTTCTCCCCAGTCTCTTATTGGAAATCCTCACTCCTAGTTAATAAGGCAAAAGGCAAGCTTATTCCACTTTTCACAAATACTTAACTTTCTATCTCCCTACATTTTTTTTGAAATTGTGCCATATCTACTTTCCATACTATACTGCTTCCCTAACAATGATCATTTAGTCTTTGTTCTTTAGGTAAAATAAATATAACACTCACCACCAGTTCTTAAGTCAAACTCTCTCACGTACTGTTGATTAACTAAAGCTTGTTCTCTTACAGATTCCTCAGGAGTGGTTTCTAGTTTGTCTGTAGTCTTTATAACTGAAGGTCAGTTTGGGTGGATATAAAACCCATACCCTGCCATTCTCTTTGAGTATTTTAAAAATGTTACTCCGGGGGCACCTGGGTGGCTCAGTCGTTAAGCGTCTGCCTTCGGCTCAGTTCATGATCCTAGGGGCCTGGGATCGAGCCCCACATCAGGCTCCCTGCTCAGCGGGAAGCCTGCTTCTCCCTCTCCCACTCCCCCTGCTTGTGTTCCCTATCTCGCTGTGTCTCTGTCAAATAAATAAATAAAATCTTTAAAAAATAAAATAAAATAAAAATGTTACTCCGCTGCCATCTGGCATCAAGTGTTGGTGATGACAGTGTGATCTTCCTCTTATAAATTAATAATTTTACTAATCTCTGAGTGTCAGCATTCCTGAATTAATTTTCCAAGACATTCAGTGTGCCCTTTTATATACAGTTTTAAGTTGTCTTTTATTTTAGGAACACTTTCTTGTAGTTTTTAGTATTGTTTTGCTCTATTTTTCTTCTTTGAGATTCCTATTACATATATGTTGAGCCTTTTTTGATCTATTTTAGAGATCTTTTGTTTTAATCTTTTGGATTTTTGGCTTTTTTTTATTTTAAAAGTTTGTCCTCAGAGCCCATAGTCTCTCATGGTTCATCTCCCTCCAATTTCCCTCCCTTCATTTTTCCCTTCCTTCTCCTAATGTCCTCCATGCTATTCCTTATGTTCCACAAATAAGTGAAACCATATGATGTATTGTATGGTGACTAACATAACATAATAAAATTAAAAAAAAAAGTTTGTCCTCCTTTCTATCTTCTATTTATTTTATTTGATAGAGAGAGTGCGCACGCCAGCAGGGGGAGGGGCAGGCAGAGGGAGAGGGAGAAGCAGGCTTTCTGCTTAGCAGGGAGCCTGACGCGGAGCTCGATCCTAGGACCTTGGGATCACGACCTGAGCCGAAGGTAGACACTTAACCAACTGAACCACCCAGGCACCCCCTGCCTTCTATTTCTCTTAAGATATTATCTATTGTGTATTTGCTTTTGTGTTTTTTCTAGTTTAGTCTGTATTTCTGATATGATTTTTCAATTTTCTTTTATTTCTAATTCTTTGAGTGTTGTCATTTCTCATTTCAAATTTCCTTTTTCTGTAATCAACCTTATTTCTGAGTTTTTATAGTTTTGTTTTATGTTGTTCTTTAGTGTCTATAATTTTCTAAATTTTTTAGTTCATTTTGAAATTTACAGTTTCATTGTTTTGTGAGCATGCCTTTTTGGTGGGTGTCCATTGCCTTTAGGGGTATTATTTGGCTTTTTATTCTTTTTTCTCATAATAGTTTGTACAGAATTTGACTGTAATTCTTTCTTTTGCTCATGTTTTAAGTGAAATAAAATTTCCTGTGCTTTTAGAAGGAAGTGGTGGATCACAATTGCTTTCTTAGCTTCATGGTTCTAGAATTCTCCAGGGTTGTTTTACCAAAATGACAGAAAATGTGGCGTCATATTTTGATATCTTGCTCCTCTCCCCTCCTTTTGCCTGCATCTTTTCTTTCCTTTGCCCCATTGTCTGACTTGCTAATATTAGGCTCTATTTCCAACAGTTTCTATTCAGTGTGAGTCATGGAAGACAGCATCAGTTTACTTCCAAAGGTTATATGGCTATGGCTCCAGTACCATGAAACTGTGGCACATTATAGATCTTTAGCGTCCAGCTATGAAGAGCATCTTGCATTACTCTCTTCTCAGTCTTGGTTGCTGTTCTCAGATTGGCTTGCATGCTCCAGTGAAATACCATTCTCAGTCAGCCTTCCTTCCACACAAATGCTGATAACTGTAAGGGTCCATAAGGGCATGGTGTGCCACACCTGTTTGTATCTGGGGGCTTACAGAGGGAAACCTAGTTGCTTACTTTTATTGTAGAGACTGACTGTGCTGTCTTTAGTTTTGCTATCCAAGTTGCTCTGTGTTTATGGTAGAATTCTACTAGACTCAAAAACTATTTCATGCCACTTTCCCAGAATCCTCTTTAATTCACTTTTTGGTAATTTACACATTTTTGGCTTTCCATGCAATGCTAAGCTTATGAAACACATATTATTTCTATCTGCCTATGTCCTTCCAGTTCAATATTTAACACTTTGAATTCTACTTAGATACCAATCATACTGACCTCTCTCTATTCCTTAGAACCACTAAAATTTATGTGCTCCAAATTTTTATCTTTCCCTTTTCTTAAAACCTCAAAATTAACTAATTTATGAAATTTCAGAGTGTTAGTAAAATGAAAACTGACAAGAACCCATCCAAAAAGAAAAAGATTTATAATTATTCAATAGTGAGAAAATTTATTCAGCAAATAACTACCTTATGTCAACAAGAGAGCATTCCAAAGATAATCTTCCCATTGTCCTTAGGTTTTCTTGAAGTTCTCGTAAACAGGTAATATTCACGACTAGTTCAACACCCACATCATACAGCAAGACCTATGAAAGCAATAACTTTGAGTCTGTGGAAAGACAATATTTCAAAATATATTTTGCAAACTGAATAGCATAATAAAATTAGATTTAAAAAATTTCAGGATAAAAATACTGAATGCATTCACCTTTACAATTATTATTTTTAACTCTTCATTTACCTCTACCAATGTGTCTGTAACCATTCTGATGATCTGGCCTCTTCGCCACTGATTTTTATCTGGGATCTTAACAGCACAGTGCATATCATTTTCCCATTTAACTGGTTCCCACTTTGAGTTTTCATAAGCAGCTGCCATCTTTTCTTCTAAACTATATAAAGAAAAAAATTTAACTTTCAAACCTTTTCTTACAACATATAATTCTCCGACCACATGTCTTCTACTGTCCCTCCTTACCCATTCCACTCCAGCCAAAGTGGATACCTTGTTCTTCCTTGAATACCCAAGTATATTTCCACTGCAGGATCTTTAATCTAGCTCTTCCCTCTGTGTGAGATTATCTTCCTCCAGATAGCCTCATGGCTTACTCCCTTTCTTCAGGATCCATTACAAATGTCACTGTCTTCTTGAGGTCTTCCCTGATTATCCAAAATTGCCCTCCTCCCCAACTGCTTTTTCTCTATTTTTTTTTATCATCTGCTACAGTAAATATTTTATTTGTCCATTGTCTCTCCCTCTATTAGAATTTAAGCCTCATGACAGTCAAGACTTGTAAATGTTTTTACCACTATATCCCCAACACCTACCAAGAGTACTGGTTGTGCCCAATAAGTATTCGTGGAGTGACTAATTCTAATAATACAGTGAAAATAACTAGTAAAGATACTATTTGTGTACTTTTAACTATTTTTAAATAACTGTTTAGCTGAAATAATTTTGCTTTTAAAGTTCTACATTTATGATTTCTAGATCTTTATAGGAAAAAATATAGAAAAAAGCCCATAGGTAATATATGTTTTCCTTATATGTTATACCTATTAAGTAAGTTTTCTGTTAATAACCACTGAACATAAATCTTCTCAGGAGATATCACATTACAGATATGTACAGGCAGTTCCTTATTATAAAGTGACTGGAGATTCTCATTAGGTAGAGATTTTACAGACACAGGATTTAAGCTGTTTACTTCATTTGAAATAATTTCTTCTGGAGAAGGATCCCATACTTCAGTATGCTTTTTGCAATTATCCTTGAGGGTATATCTGGAAAATAACAAAACCCATTAGCAAAAAGAGCAGTTTGTAAAATATTTATGTTTGTATTTGCTTAGATCTAGAGATGAACAAATTTTAGCTATGATTCACTGCTTCCCAGTTTTGGTATTAATAGCAGTTTTAGTTTCTTTTTCAAAAAAGGGTTAAATACTACCAAAGTAAGCACAAAAAAACCCCCTAAAAGCCAAACTTTCTATTTTAAAAACAGTTTAAAATACCAAGTTTGCTTATAATTTCACCATTTCGCATTGATATTTTGTACTCACAATAGAAGAATTATTCATAATTTGTTTGATAACCTGACTAAAAAGTATCAATCCATTTGCCAATGAGAGTTCAAGTGGTAACCAATTACTATTAAAATGTATTAAGGAGAGAAATTATTGAATGAAGTGTTTAGAATATTTAATAAATCAGATTAGTTCAGACTAAAACCACAGATAATTAGATGTCCTTTATTTCTATAAAGAAAAAAATTTCTTTCACAATAAGCTTGAGATTTAGCTAACCAAGGTGACTTAAACATTTTTGTTGCTAAATCTAATGGACAAATTTCAGTCCTTATTTGACTTGAATTCTCAGCACTAGCTACTTTTTCCTTCTTGAAATGTTCTTTCTTTGGTTCCTGGTTTTTCTTCAGTCTCAGGTTCCTGATCTACATTTTTGGACATTCTTTTTCATAGGTGATAATCCTCATAATTGCATTTTCATCAAGTGAGACTGAGATGAGTGATGAAAGTGATAATCTCATTTATTCTAATGGACTTGTTTATATTTATATGCTGCTAACTCCCAGGTGAAACACCTAACCAGGTCTCTCTTCAGAGATCCATGGATTCATCGCCATTCAACTAATATTTACTGGATACATACTGTGAACCAAGCATAATGCTAGATGCAGAGATATGGCAGTGGACAAAGTAGGCAGGGTTCCTGTTCTCATGGTGCTTAAAGTATAGTGACCCTGAGACACATAGTTACATACATGAGAATAAATTATATGAACAAGAGTTACAAAGAAAAGATCTGGCATAGGCCAATGAAATTTAATCTAGTCTGGGAGAACGTCTGCCTGATTAAGTAACATTTCAACAGAGATTTTAAAAGAGTAAGTAGGAGTTAGCTAGACATTCAAGAAACTGAAAGAAAACATAGGGTTGGATATAGCAAGGCAATAGAAGATGGCCTGAACTCTGAGGTAGGGAGGAGCCAGATTATTTTGGCGATATTATTTTATAAAGGGTGGTGGGTACTGTGTATGATACAGTTGAATCCAGTAGAGAGACTGGTTTGTGGGATTTTTTTTTTCATTTCCTCAGGTGATCAGAGCAGGCACTGATCAAGGGAAGCTCGTGGTTTATTTTGAGGACAGGCAATAGATAACAATGAAAACAATGAAAACAATGCAAGGTCTAGCTGCAGTGATCAGAAAATAGGGATCTGGGTTTTGGAGGGCAAGGAGATTGGCTGCGGCTGCCAGAATACCAGAAGTGGTTTTAGTAAAACTTGAGTTTAAGCTTCAGGATCCCTCACTTACACAGGAAACTTGGGAGGGGCAAATCAACATTTTTTTTTTGGTAAAATTTTCAAAAGTAAACATTTTTAACTGCAATTAGTAAAGGTCATAGACTCTACCCCCATTCTTCTCTCACATTTCTTTTCATTTGGGTGTTGGATACAGCACTTTGAGTTGACTACAGGGAAGCTGAGTTGGAGAAACATTTGGCTTGTATTTAGTGGAATATAGTTTTGTGATCGACAGCCACTTTTCTGTAGAGTTAAGCTATTGCTAGCCATCTTTGCGTAGGAAAGGATTCCAGAAATACTCCCAGCACCTTAGTGTCACAACATGAAAATACAGGGTCCAACATAAATGTCATAATAAACAACTACAATGAGGGTGCTGATGACAAACTGTTTAATGAGTATAGTGACCACACCACCCGGTTTAAACCTGTTGTTCTGGCATATTGCTTCTCTTTCACTCTTAAACATGTCCCAGTATGGATGAGACATATGCCCACTTATTAATAAGTGAAATAAATTAACATTGCTAATCCAAACTTTAAGATTCATCATTATACAACAAAATTTGAAATGCCTTAAATTATTACATATGTAAACACAAAAAAGAAACAGGATAGGTTTTCCTAAAAGTAACTACAATTTTTAGAAATTTATAGAACATTAGCCATGATTGAGCTATGGATCAGAAAAAACACTTTTTAAAATTACCAATAAATAAATTTCAATCACCTATACGAGAGAAAAGACTTTTCTCTCTATAGGGAATATCACAAAATTTGGCATTTCAAGTGGTGGTTCGTATACAGATAAAAAATGTAATAAGAAAGCATTTTGTGATGAGTCTGAATTTTGTAATGTTTGTAGTATTTGTCAACTTTGAAAATCTGTTATTGGGATTTATCAGTCTACGTAAACATTACTTTTGCTTATTTAATTCTATAGTTAAAACTCTGAATTCCTTTTCTTAAAGGGGGCCCTTCAGGCTCACCCATGAAACCTCGATTTGCCCTTGTTGAGCAAAAGTACGAGCATTCAGAAATGAATAAACATGTCTGGCCTTTTCTTACCACTGCGCCGCCTCATCCATTTCCTTAGCTATTGCTGTACCTGCTTCCCACTCTTTATCATGTGCTTCTGTTGCTATGCAAATAAACCACTACAGTGTGTGACTGACAGTCCTCTGGCCACTGCACAGTTGTTTGCCACGTGAAGATATATCCCTCCGCATTAACATGCCAAAGGCACCTCAAACACATGTCCAAAGTTGATATCACATCTGTTTTCCCCAAAACCTGCTCCCCACTCTTCTGTTCCTTGTTCTCAAGGAATAGTATCACCCGATATTAGGTGGTTATGGTCACTGGTCCTGAAAGTCAATCCTGACCCCTCCTCTTCCTTACCTACAATGAGTAGCAAAGTCTTGCAATATTCACCTCCATCATGTTTCATAGTCTACCCATTTTTCTATCACCAAGCAACTGTAACTTCAATAGCCTACAGTACCCATGTCTAGCCTAACACTTTTTTTAAGACTTGCAGTCAGAGAGCTTTCCAAAACCCAAGTCTACTCTCAGTCCTCTGTTTAAAATCATTCAATAGCCCCTCACCCTCCTTCCTGAAGTGATAAAGTTCAAACACACAGAAATGTTTAAAAAGTACTTTTACTTCTCAGTGATCAAGGTTCTGTAATTATCTGGTCTCTGTATTTCTCTCCAGCTTGATCTCTTACCTTACCTGCCACTACTACCTTTTTTCCTGTCTACCAGCTGTGTGAGTGTACTAACAATACCTAAACATATCATATTTTTCCTGTGTATAGGCTTTTACTCCCAGTTGTACTACAGAATTCAGTTTAAGTGAAATCTCCAGTGGTAAACCCTCCAGAAATCCCATAATACTGTGACTACCCTTAGCAGAGTCCTTATCACACTGAAAGGTAAGCTTGACCATCTCTCCTTCCTACTACATACTCTAAGCTCCTTGAAGGCACAAACCATCCTTATTCATCACTGGGTATAGCGTTTGGTACAATGTAACAAGTAGGCATATAAATATCTCTTGCTTATATAATCAAACAATAGAAAGGGAAAACTAGCTAATGGACTTTTAAAAACTTTATTATAGAGGTAGATTTTCCACAAAAAAAAGTTCGCCCATTTCAAGTGTATGGTTCAATGATTTTTAGTTAACTTTACCAAATGGTGCAACCATCATAAGTCAGTTTTACAACATTCTCACCTCTCCCCAGAAAGATCCCCTATGTCCATTTACCATGACTCTTCCTCATCCCTAGCCCCAGGCACCCCCTAATAAACTTTTTGTATCTATAAACTTGCCTTTTCTGGGCATACCATATATATGGAATCATACAATATACAGTCTCTTGTCTCTGACCTCTTCTTACTTAGCTTAAAATTTGAGGTTTATCCATGATGTAGATGTGTCAGTATTTTGTTCCTTTTTATGGCTAAATAGTATTCAATTATATGAATATATAGTATTCTATTCACCACTCACTGGGTATTTACATAGTTTCCAGTTTTTGGCTATTCTGAATAATGTTATGAATATTTGCTCGTAAGTCTGTGTATGAACATGTGTTGTCATTTCTCCTGATAGATACCTAGGAGTGGAATTGGTGGGTTGTGTGGTAATTTTATGTGTAACTTTTTGAGAAACTTGCAAACCATTTTCCAAAGAGGCCATACCATTTACATCCCTGACAGTAATAAGGGTTACTCCACATCCTCACCAACATCTGTAATTGTCTTATGTGTAATAGCTATTCTAGTGGGTGAGAAATGGTATCTCATTGTGGTTTTAATTTGCATTTCCCTAATGGTTAATAATGTTAAACATCTTTTCATGTACTATTAGCCAATTATATACCTTCTTTGGTAAATGTTTGCTTATATCTTGTGCTCATTTTTTGGGGGGTTGAATGATTTGTTTTCTTAAGTTGTAGAAGTTCTATGAATTCCAGATACAAATCCTTTATGGGGTACGTCTGGCAAATATTTTCTCCCACTCTGTTATTTGTTTTTCCTTTACTTAATAGTATCTTTCAAAATACACTAGTTTTGAATTTTGATGAGGATCAACTTACTAATTTTCTTTTATGAACTGTGCTTCTGGTGTCATATCTAAGAAATCTTTGCCCAATCTACAGTCCTAAAGATTTCCTCCTGTTTCTCCTAGAAATTTTGTTTTAGCTCTTAAAAGTATAATCCCTTTTGAGTGCGCTTTGTGTATGGTGTGAGATAAGGGCTATGTTCATCTTTTTTTGCTGGTGGATATCCAATTGCCACAGCACCACTTGTTGAACAGACTACCTTTGTTCCAATGAACTGCCTTTGTTTAAAAAGTCAATTAATTATAAATATAAGGATTTACTTCTGAACTGTCAATTCTATTTATTCATCTATATGTCTATCTTTATGTTAGTACCACACTGTCTTGGT